TGTGCTGAGTTGGCAGAAAGAAGCCTAAAACTTTGTGACTGATTTTTTATTCCGTACATTATAAATCTGTCACAGGTTTGGCCATTTCTTAGTTAAGAATCTGTAATCCACAGAATCTAATTCCTACCTATGTTAATGAGCAGCCCAATAAAATTGAGTGGTAACCACTATATACTATTTAGGAAAAACGTCTTTATTAGCCCAACCTCCAAGGGAAATATTTCTGTAAATGGAATTTGGCCTTGTTAGATTCCTTTGGGTGTATAATGAGCGAGTGTGCTTTGGACCAACTCACTGCGTCCATGTCCCCAGGTTTTGCATAATGGGATTTTAAGGGGCCACATCATTAACCTCTGAAAAATGGAAGAAGCCCTGGAAAAATGAACAGTGAAGCACTGTGTCATAGCAACTGCCTTTAGCAAAATCAAATCTGCTGATAAATTATGGGAGAAATTTGGGGGTGTTTCACTTGTAGAATGAAAAAGTGAGATGTCCATGACATCGTTATTTCTGTTGATTTATTGGGTTCATAAAAGACGATTGTTTACCTTTACTTGGAGGATAGTTTAACGTTTTCCCCTCTGTTCTCACCACCCCTCTTCCTGGTGCCCAGGTGGTGCATATGAAGTCAAACAGCACCGATTCTTCCGTTTTTTGGACTGGAACAGTTTGCTGAGACAGAAGGCAGAATTTATTCCCCAACTGGAATCCGAAGATGACACAAGTTATTTTGATAGTACGTGCATTATCTGACATAAAACATTGCAGAAAATTATGTCTACCTTTCATAGAATCTTCCAGTCTAGAACCTATGAGTTGGTTTTTTTTTTAAAGATTTTTCTTTATTTTCAGAGAGAGGGGAAGGGAAGGAGGAAGAGAGGGAGAGAAACATCAATGTGTGGTTGCCTCTCATGCATCCACTACTGAGGACCTGGCCTGCAACCCAGGCATGGGCCCTGACTGGGAATTGAACTTGTGACCCTTTGTTTCACAGTCTGGTATTCAATCCACTGAGCCACTACAGCCAGGGCTAGAACCTATGAGTTCTTAATCATAATGTTGCTCTGATAACAGAAACTAATAATTAAAATAATGAAATTAAAAACTGAAATTCTGAGTAATTGGAACTGTTCCCAAACATTTCTCTGTAGCTCGGTCAGAGAAATATCATCATATGGAGACTGAGGAAGAAGATGACACCAATGATGAAGACTTTAACGTGGAAATAAGGCAGTTTTCCTCGTGTTCACATAGGTTCTCAAAGGTAAGTGAAATATGACCTAGACATATGGGGGCTCTTTGAGGGGCTCTGCCACTGGCCAGGTGGTTGGTACCCCTAAACAGCTGGACACAATTATAAAAACCACCTACAGTATTTGGGAGCTTGGGATCCCTGTACTTAAAATTCCTTCTTGTTTAGGAAAGGTGGCCCTACATCTTGATAATCCAGAGTCCCTTCCCCTCAGGAGGATATTTCTCTGTGTTATCTTCTATAGAGTCCTATATTTTTTCTTGGAGACACAGACTTGCTACTCCTGTATCTTTGGAGTACATTACAGCTACATATATGCTGCCTTTGCCCTGCATGCCCAGGCTGCAGAGGCACCTACCCCGGTTTTTTTCATGGTGTAAGGAAGAATGTCAGGCTCAGTGTGTGCAGAGCCTTCTCCTAATATTATGTGGATTCCAACACAAGGAACCAGGCTCAGGCCTTGACATAAGCTCAGACCATTGGGCATAGTTGATTGTGGAATTTGAAAGTCTGGAAGCCAATAATAGAAAATGTAAGTTATATTAAAGAGGCAGTAGGAAGTGAAGCTAGAATTTTGGGCATGGTAGAAAATAATAAAATTGATGTTTGAGAAAGATGCTGCTTTTTCACCCATACTGGAAAGATGAAAACAAACAATCAAAACAAAGAAAGCTGGTGTTCGTGAGACAGGGCAGCAGGGCCCTGGGAAGGTGGAGATGAACCTTGAAGGCACCCTGCCTCCCTTGGCCATTTTCAGTAGCTACGCACTTGCCGTTGCCATGGCACTTCCTATGATTGCTGTTTGGCTCTTCTGTAGTGTTGACTGTACCTTTCTCTGAGTGACTACCTGGGATGCATGTGCAAACTGGCTAGCATAGCTCTCCCTGTTTATAGAAGGGATGTGAGGAGGTAGGGATTTCCCTGGAGGGTGTGGTGGCATGTGCCCTGGAGCCAGGGCCTGAGTGTGGACATCACCGAGTGCTGGTTTTCCCCAGCACCTGTGGTCTGGCCTAGAAACGCTGGCCCCTAAACTCTTTTTCCTCCATGCTGCCTCATGTTCTTCAGCTAGTTTCCTGCCAACCCTAGTAGATTTAGGTGGTCTGAGGGCCGTATTCCTGAGAGCCGCAAAAGGCTGGGTCGGGCTGTAGGAAATGCTTCCTGGGCTGGGCTCTCAGCTTCCTGGTCCCCCTTCCATCTTTCCTGTGGGGCAGCAGAGCCCTTCAGAAATCCCAGTATCAATGTACAAAGCTGCCTCTGTGTGTGTGTATAATTTATAAGCCAAACTGATGCCTCTGACTCACAACCAAATATGGACTGCAGGTCACCTCCCTCCCTGCCCCCGCCCCGCCACACACACATCTGAAACAGGTAATTTATTCTTCTCTTCGCACTCAATTCCAATTCATTTTCTCCTTCCCACCGCTAACTGGTGGCCATTAAATCTTTTTCTGACTTTCTTTTTCTGATTGACTTCATGGTTAAAAAGTAATCTAAGATGTGCATTGATCCCCAGGCCTAGAAACCCCAACACCACTATAGATTTTGTTTGCAGTTACCAAGTTCATTACAAGATATGGTGAGAGAGAGGTGAGTACCTAGCTTCCCACTCCGAAAGAAAAAAAAATTATACATTGACCACTCATTTCAGGACTCAAGTACACAGCATTGGAAAGTACCTTCTGGACTCAGTCCCAGTTCAAACCTTAGTCATACTGTCAGGCTTTTCTCCCAAGATTTGGATGTTTTCCCTGACAGACACCTCCAGGAAAATATCAACAAGCACCGACTCTTTGCATTCCAGGTTTTCAGCAGCAGAGATCCTATAACTCAGAACCCAGGAGAGGAGAAGGAAGACCCCGCGGACAAAACCAAAAGCACAACTCTGCCATCCACGGAGACACTGAGCTGGAGTTCGGAATATTCTGAAATGTATGTGAAATGCCTGTTTAGAAGTATAAGCAGGAGCTCTTGGAGCAGTGGTTCTTAGACCTGAGTGCTCATCCGAGTTGCCAGGAGGGCCCGTAAAAACACAGGGTGCGAGGCCATTCTCAGGGTGTCTGATCCTCAGATCTGGGATGGGGGCTGAGAGTGTGACTCTCTGCCCAGTTCCCAGGCGATGCTGATCTGTGGGTCTGCACACCACACTTAAAAGAACCACTGCACTAGACACGTCTTGGTCAAGCTTAACTAAGCTCCATTTTTGCATGGTTTCTTATAAAATTCACCCTGAGCAGTTTCCTGGTATGTATGTACACATGACCTTGTTTTTGTGTTCCATTAAGGCAACAGTTATCCACATCCAACTCTTCCGATACTGAAAGCAACAGACATAAACTCGGTTCTGGCCTGCTTCCCAAGCTGGCTGTTTCAGCAGAGGCAGAAGCCACTCCCTGCCCCGGAGACCTCCGTGAGGAACCAGAAAAGCCGGCCCTGCCTCCTGCTGAGTGTGCTCAGGAGGAGCCCGAGGTCACCACCCCAGCCAGCACCATCAGCAGCTCCACCCTGTCAGGTAAGCCCTGGATGTGGTACCTGCCACCCAGACATGATCCCAGGAGTGGCCGTGGATGCTGAGTCCTGGGGCTGGCCTAGCCAGGTGTGGATGATGATATTTTATGCTACTAGACTCCAACTTCTTAGGCTTGGGGGATGAGCTCCTAAAAACTAAGATCAGATGTCTCAGACCCCTCCTGAGTGCATGGCCATGCAGCAAACCCATTCTTGCTTCAAGTTGACCCGAGAGCCCGCCTTAGCTTTCACAGCTGGGTTTCGGTGGGATCCTGTGGTGACAGTGGGAACACACTAAGGGGACACGTTCTCTGTTGTGGGTGCGAAGGCGTGTCTTGTGGAGTTGCCGCTAACTCAGAGTTAGGAGTAAGGGACAACATCAAATAGTCGTATGGTCAACATTCCCCTCAAAAACGTTTTAAATCACCTGTAAGGTATAGCAGAAAGCCAGTTTTCCCTCTTGTGTTGAAATAGGTGGTCGACGTCAGTTGGTTTTTGTTAAGGGACCAAACCAAATAGTAATAACCTCTCTACACTAGACTCTCGGCGAGTGCAGCAAGGCGCTTACCACAGTGGTTTTCTCAGACATCTTCCTTCCATCTGGGACTGAGGGGAGAGTCAGAAACACCAGCACAGTTCAGACGGTGTTTTCTGTGCCTGTGACACAAGTCCAGTGTCGACCAAAGTACCCTTCCCAGTCCCTGGGTGCCTGGAGCAAGAAACTCCTGAGACAGCTTTGATTGTTTGAGAGGCAGCCAAGGGGCTTGGGCCTTTTCTGTGGGAACATTTTGTAACGTTATTTTGGTGTGAAGTAACCTTCCTGACAACAGGAATGGTGCCTTCATGGGTTTTTTTAAATGCTCAGTGTATCACAGATACTTGCTGGCCCTTAATAATGGAGGTGTCCTCATTAGGTCATCAGCCTTTCACGTCCCTCAGAGCAAGCCCTTAAAGTATTTAAAATATTATTTGGTTTATAAAAATTGTATGCACAGCATAAATCCTTCTACAGAGCAATGTGCATTTATGCTTTAAAAAAATAAAACATTGATATGGCTTAGGGTTGCTATAAGTGTTTTCTTTAAGCCATGTTCAATATGTTATCGATAACCATGAATATTCCAAGATGGTTCATGAACATTTTTTAAACTAAATATTCATAGTGTACAACTTTCAAAAATCATTTTAAGACAACAAATTTCGTAGGCCAGGTTTACTTGAGCCTCATTAAGCAGCTTGGTTCACACTTACCTGACAGGGGAGACGCCACGCTCACAAGCGTAGTTTTCGGGGCGAGGCTTATGCATTGCACTCCAGATGTGCTGACCCCTGCGATTTCCCAAGCATGGGAAACTCGGCTGCATCATTCATGGTAGTGGCAGACTGTGTTGGTGCTCTTCCCTGGGGGAAAAAAAGTTTCTAGCAAGGAGACTTGACTTGGGGTGGTGAACACACAATGTAATATACAGGTAATGAATTATAGAATCATACACCTGAATTCAATATAACTTGATTAACCAACATCATCACAGTAAATTCAGTAGGAAGGCCTGGTTCTTTGGAGGAGCTTCATATATACTTATAGTTCATCATGGGGGAAACGAGTGTTGTTGTTTTTTTCCTTTTTTCTCTTCACCTCAGTTCTGTCTCCATTAGGATAATTCATTCCATTTGGCCAAACTCTATAAAGCCAACATACTGGCAATGTAGAAGTAGTGGAGAAGCAACATAGTAATCTTGGATCCCTGACCATTTTTAGTTCATCTTGGTAATCAAATCAAATGCAGATACCTCAGTATTTTATACTTCCATTTACTAAGTTCTCTATGTGTTTCTTAGTTTCTTACTTCAAATGAAATATATTTACCTCCATTTAAAATTTATTCTTAATATGGTGAACTGTTGGTGGTCTCTTAGCCTCTTTAGCCTACTCACTGTCAGAAAGGTAGGAGGTAAAGGGAGGGGGATGGTGTCCAAGCATTTGATAGATGACTTTCATAATTAAAAAAAAATCTGCCTAGGTCCTGCCATGCATTTTGATTAATAGATTTAAACCACCTTTCTTTCTGGCTCCCCCACACGCTCACTAAAAATAACCAAAGACCTCGGGGGCTGCGCAGAATGGAGACGTGCGGATTTGCTCCTAGCCAAGGGTAATTAAGGAATCTGAAAGCCGTGACTGTAGTAAAATTAAAGTTGTTGATTTTTATATTGCTCCACCATCAAAAAGAAAGAACCCTTGACATTTCCAGAACATTAAGGTGACATTATCCACCGCTGGTAGAAAAGAAGTGTGTGCTTATGTGCAGTGCTACGGAATGAGACGGCAGAGGCAGGGGAGAGATGGAAAAAGAGAACACTATATATTCACAGCCTGGCATTCAGGGAAGTACAGCTTTATACCCACTTCTCTTTTTTCACGACTAAATTGTATTTGAAAAAGGGAAGAGTAAAAGTCATGAAGTCTTAGGCACAGTGCTCAATTGCATCCAACAAATTATTCATTGTAAAGAGATTCAGCTTCTCGTTTTATAGTTGTCAGTGATCTTACCCAAACCAAATTAGAAGGGAGAAGGGAATGTGTAACTTACCCAGAAGTAAGCTTAAGGTTTCTGAGGTGAGATTTTTGATTTGTGAAGCAGTTTTTATCAAGTCCTTCAGCAACAGATCTTTCTTTGGAATGAGTGGAATAGGTGTGCTGTTCAGCGAGACTGAGTTGGGCATACAGAAAGATTGTTGGTATTTGCCTTAAGATTGTCTTCCTCTGCAGGCAAGATAGGCGTCACTTGGAAGCCTGTGAATCTATTCCCACACACACAGCACAGTAGATGGCCATGAGCTGCGCTGCGCCCAGCCCCTCTCTCCCAGATCACAGGCTTCCCTGAGCTTGGACCCCCACCTGGAGTCTGCGCCACCTCCCGTGACCTAGGGCCAGGCTCCAGCTGTGCAGTCGAGTGGTGCATGTATAGCACTGTGACAGAAATGTTAGTTAAGTCTAATTAAGCCTAACTCTTTCCAAGGCAAAGAATGTCATATGGTCAGCACTTTAAAATGTGCTGGCTGGTCTTTCAAAGGATCATTTATAATGCTATTAAATTCTCTGTATAGATTATGTATCTTATGGTGATGATAGTGTAGATGATAAAGTACAGGCTTACAGCATTTAGAAGTAAAAATGAAATAAGCATTTTTTTTGAAAGAACAGATTTAGTATCTGTGGTTTTAAAAAGAAAGAAAAAAATCCCTGCTAGCCTGTGGAAGAAAGAGTAGTAGAAACCAACAGGGGCTATTCAGGTTTTCTCCAGGGAACTCAACATGTTTCTCTGCTCAGAACTTTCTACTTTGGGACTGTGCGGCACCAGCCAACATCAGTGACTTCGTTTCTGCATCCTCCCACATGGGTATATTCTCTTATGATCCTCTGCTGAAGGAAGTCCTAATTTTTTAACAAAAAAAAAATAACTTCCAGTTTACATTAAAAGTTAACATTAAAAATAAGGCAGGGCTGGCTTGGAGGGGAAGGGATCGTCCTCTCACTGGTCCAGTATCTTTAGGGCAGATGAGTATGTAATGACACACTGTGTAGATTAAAGCCAGGAAGATGTAGTGAGCCGCTGAGTGACTAGCCATTACCACCCTTTGTCTTGTCCTGTGGAATGTACAAGGAGCTTAGAGTGAAAGGTGTGACAAGTCAAAGGGGACACTTTGGGTACTTTTCTGCAAGTTACGTACCTAAGCCTAGTGTGAGGCATGTACTAGGAAGATGGTAGGAGATGACACAGGCTTATGTCAACATGGAGTGGTTAAATGATGTCTGTAGATCAAAAAGCAATATTAACAGCATTCCTAGTGATGAGGGTTGTTACCAGGGGGTAGTACACCATAGACAGTCATGTTGTTCATAAGACAGTGTTTGCTTCATGGCATGGTGGAGCAGGGGGAGAGTTGTCTGTACAAGTGTTGTAAAATACACATTCTAGAAAGTGATTACTCTAGTCAAATGGAGTCATTGATTAAAAATTAGCAGACTTAGTATACAAGTAGAAGACACCTGAATGGACACCTCTTTCAACTTTCCTCCTCCACGTCACTTTCTCAAATGAGTCGTGTATTTTTGATGTTTGCTGACACCGTCGGATCAAGAGCCATGGGGGAGTGTGTTTCCCAGTGTTTGTCCTTCCTTCTCTCTTTTACCCTTTTCCCACTTCTCCTACCCCCTCATTTTCTTGAACGTGTTTATCCCTTCTTCTTTGAACAGTTGGCAGTTTTTCAGAGCACTTGGATCAGATAAATGGACGGAGCGAGTGTGTGGACAGTACAGATAACTCCTCAAAGCCATCCAGTGAACCCGCTTCTCACATGGCTCGACAGCGCTTAGAAAGCACAGAAAAAAAGAAAATCTCGGGGAAAGTCACAAAGTCCCTTTCTGCCAGTGCCCTGTCCCTCATGATCCCAGGAGGTAGAGAGATATCTACTTGCATGAAACTGTGTGGTTTGTGCATGTGGCCTGTCCCCTCTGCAGTTTGGAAGGCTTGTTGAGGTCCAAGATTGCTTGAAACAACAAGGAAGGGGTCCCCGCCCAGCTCTCCAGAGCTTTTCCCTGCGGGAACCCCCAGCTCCCAGGGAGCTCGTGTGCCTCATTTCCTTTCGCTTCTTTCTGCATCAGGAGATGAGGCAGCCTTCCTTCCCACAAAGCCGTATTTCTTTTGTTTTCTTTCCTTTTCTTTTCTCCCCCTTCAAAGTGAAGTCATATATTTCCCTCCTGAATAATTTTTCTTCCCTACACTGTGTATCGTTTATATACTTACAGAGCTGTTCATGACATCTGCGTTGGAAAGCTAAGTATAGTTTTTCTCATCTAATTAATGAGGAAATAGACACAGAAAACATAAGTTTTTATTTCTGGGGATGTAGAGAGTCACAGCACTGGAATTTTAAGTTTTCCCAGCCCTGTCTGTTGAGCTATGCTTCCTCCTACTGGTAGTCAAGTCATTTTCTGACCTATATTAGAAAACTGGGCTTAATTATGATTTTGTTGAATCACAGTATTTTTCCACAACCTGGTTTTGCCTCTAGTCATCACTAAGTCTGTAGTAATGCCACTGGCAGAGATGAAATACACACCCTTGTGGTGGTTGTGGCTTATCGCTCAAGTGATGGCATTAGAATGGAACTGGCCATTGAATTATATTGCAGATGATTTGCATTTGGAAGAACCCAGACCATTATAAAAGCATAGTTTACATTTTTGAAATTTCAAATTTGGACAGAAGGAAACTGGATATAAACAAGTGCTTATTTAGGGGTAGCACTCTGCCATATTCTGCTTCCAGGAGGCATCCCATTTAGCACCATAAAACAAACCCCATCTCCCTAGTGTAAGTGACTGTTCCTGCCCGAAGGCAAGGGCCCCAGGGCAGCTGTATCGGGAAGGTAAGTGCACCTTGTGGTCTAGTCCATCTTTCAAGCTGGTAAGAAAGCCCACACCTTGGTAGAGTGGGGCAGTTATTCAGTCTGGGGAGAAAAACTATCACAAGGTAACCAGGGCCTGGCTTTTCAGCAATTTGGATCTGTGTGTCCACCCTGTCCTCCTCTTGCTTGCATGCTTTGAAGTTGTTTGCCCACCAGTGTATGGCTTTTCACCTGGCCTCTTGATTAGACAGAAAGTGGCCAGCAAAAGAGCACTAAGATGCCACATGAGGTCGGAGAGTGACGGGGCAGGAATGGTGACACATGTAGCTCATTGTTAAAGAGCATATGGACACTTTCCACTTGCTGTGGCCACGTGGCTGCTCACCACACTGGTGATTCCACAGTGCTGGCATTTCGGAACCTGGCTCTGCCTCAGCTCACACTGAAACCTCATCATCTCTTGTAGATTACTCTTGTTCTCAAACGCACACACACAATTTCACATGACCAGTGAAAAGCTGTTTATATTCACATAGCTGGAACGTTGATACGAATGACAAATTAAAAGGTATTTGCTTATAAAACAAGCAAAACCGAGTTAAGAATTGGTGTTCTGGAATGTGAACTGAGTTCCTCTTAAAATTTCTGTATTTCACCAGCATTATCCTTTCAAAAACCTTATTAGAAATACAGGTAATATATGAAGAGAATCACTTGTAACCATAGTAATAGGGAGTGATTCTTTTATAAAGAAATTGCCATTTTAGAGCCTTCTTGGTCCAATTTTTTAAATAAGCAGTAGTTCAATAGTAATGTAAAAGGCAGCTGGTAAATTGAAACTCTTTTTTGGTCATGGGTGTTTGAAAAGGACTGTGTTAAAGTTGTTAAGGGCACGATTTGGAGCCTGGGACTCTTTTCCCACAGTCCATACACTGTTCTATGTGGGAGTGGACTCGAAATTCATGTGGCTATGGTTGGTTTCTTTAATTAAG